AACTGAAACTTGGCTGCAGTCTCTGGATGTAGATGAGGTCCAAGGAAAGATCCTGTCCTCAGCCGTTCCCTCCAGCAGCAGGAACTCGCCTCTCTTCCCACTCCAGCTGGAAGCTCTCACAGCTCCCAGCCAGTCTTGGGTTACAACAAACACTTCAGGGCTTGCCACGCTTGGAGGAGACTCTCAGGGAGATAATCTCTCCTTGGAAGGCTCTTTTCTGTGGCTGCATCACCACACAGAAATGCACTGACCGAGCTGGAGGAGGATTTTACGGAGCAGACTTCTTTCCACTTGTCCCGCAGGTGTTCAGAGCAAGATTTTCAGCTGCCTGTTCTAAATATGGGGAAAAACCCTCATGTTTCATAGGTGAATAAAACACTTCTTCCCCTTTTTTTTCACCAGGGATGGGGTGATAGCTGTAAATAAAGAAACAGGCTCCTTTACTGATGAGTATCTCCCAGAGCAGCGATCCCACCTCTATGGAATCACAGCTGTTTATCCCTACTGCCCTGGAGGTAAAAACCCACCCAAACCCCATCCCCTTGTGCATTCTGATGGCCTGAAAAACCTCCACACTAAAAATCTCCATTTCTCCCCACAGCCAGGAAATAGTAACTCCATTTTCAAGGGAACGAGGAGGATCTTTGCACCCAGAGGAATTTCAGACCCAGAGAACTGTCACTGCATACAAGGGGGAGAAGTCCCTCACCGAGGCCAATGAAGTGCCCTGCTTTCCTGCAAAAGATTTTCAAGTATTTTTTATAGTTATACCTCAAGACTTTACTACTGTATTTTTGTACCAAATGGAAAATGTTGAGATATCACCAAAAAAAAAAAAAAACAAACTGGGAAGCTCAAGCCATGACTCAAACTCTTGCTCATGCAAGATTTAAAATGTAGCTTTTTTTTTTTTTTTACTCCAATGTTTTATTTTATTTTATTGGAAGAACAATGGATTCATTTTTCATAGTTTTGACAATCTGACCAAGAGGTCTTTTTATCCAAAAATAAGAATTAAGTGCCTATGGGAAGCTGTGGATGCAGTTAATTACTGGGTCTAATTAACAAACAGCCCTGAAGACAGAGACTGTGTGTGCTCCAAAATCCTGCAGAACAGGGATGGGATGTGGCAAAGGCATTGAAGATTTTCCAGAGGATGATTCTGTGTTTTCACCACTGCCTCCATGCATGTCTTTTAGTATTTATATTAGAAGAATATGCTAGAATTGATCTGTTCATGCTTGTTGGGTCTCCCAAGTGCCTTCCTAGACCTACCCAGTGTAGACCAATACATGTTCAGAAATACCAGTTACGTTGTAATGCTTCACTTTTTCTAAGTTACTTCAATAATTGAATAAAAAAGGTTGGTTTTAAGTTGCCCTTTGGATTCAGTTTTTCGCTATTTTAGTTGTAGGGGAATATTTCAGCAAGCAAGCCAGGAGCAAGCTGTTCCTAGGGCAGGACCTCAGGAAAAGAAGATTTTATGTAACATTTCCCTCAACACAAAGCCAAACACAATGAGAAAGAGACACACACAAAAAAAAGTCCTATTTGCCAACTCAGAGCTCACCAGAACAATCTGTTTCCCTCGATTTCATTTATTTCAAGAAAAAAAAATCTGGTAATTCATCAGAATTCAATTTCCTGTTTTCTTTCCCAAACAGGCAAATTAATCCCGTTCCAAGCTGCATGTGCCAGAGCGGAGCTGTCCCTAATTGCACTAACACACGGTGGGGGTTTTTGTGGAAGCTTTTCTCCCTTCATCTGCCCACTTTGCCCAGTCTGTGGTCAGTCTTGGGGTCAGCAATGATGGCCTGCACGGCCACGATGGCTTCGTTGATCTTGGTCTGCAGCTCGCGGAGCTCCTCGATGTGCAGCAGGCGCAGGATCTGCGCGGCCTCGTTGATGACGGCATCTGGGGAGGGCACACAGANAACAGTCTCACTACTGTGAATTCTGCAGCTTTTCATTAGAAGGCACAAAATGGCCAACAATCTCTTGGTACAAGGTCTTTTAAGACTAAACCATCCAATTAAGAGCTGATCCCTAGATTATTTTCCCTTTTAACCCAATAACTGATCCCACAGAGCCCACAATGTGTATTTTTCCACCCAACTACAAAATATCACCCAAACCCATGAAGAAGGAGGAAGAAGCAGCATGAAGAAGAAACCCTGTGCCCTCCATCTTGCTTCCATCCCCAACATACTAAAAATCCCAGAACCTCAATTTCTCACCCAGTGATACACCTACACTGCTCTCTATAATCTATTTCACACTTTTGTGGGTTCCAGTCTACCTTGAAGTGTAGGAAACTTTCTCCATGAATGAGGGTCAAAGTGAGTGCTCCCCTGGGAGTCAGAGCACCCCAGAGCAGACAGAGAAATATTTCCAGTGCCCTGGGTTTCCACATCCTCCCTATTCCCTGCCTGGCCCTCATGTTTGTACTGCCCCAGGCCCCTGGGCAGAGAGTAACTCAGCCTCTCCATGTGTGGTTGCTGGGGCCTGATCATCTCACCACGGGGCTGAATTAAACATCTGTGGATGTTATGCAAAGTTCCTTTTTGCTCCCTTACCCTGGACTGTGTTAGCAGCAATTCAGCCTGCTGCAAGCCCCGTCCTGACCTTGTCCTGTAGGAGGGATTGGCTCTGCTCCCCAGCCCCTCTTTTTATTGAATTATTTGAGATCTGGATAAAGCTGCTGTTCCAGTATCAGGATGTAGATTATTTTGAAGAGCTGTGCCTCCAGGGTGCTGTTGGGATACAGAATGTGCTGCTCCTCAGACTCGCCCTCGTCGAGGAGCCGCAGTTTGGGTCATAAACATGTCTGATATCGTTCTGCTTTGTTTGGAGAGGTTTTTTTCCTAATCAAATAAAGATGGTTCAGGCACTGATAAGGGAAAAACCAGGCCTTGCTCCTGGCAAGAACCAGCATAATCTCCCACCACTCCTTACTCTTGTGCCCTGTTTGTGCATTATTTCCCAAGCAACCTTTACTGGACGGACTGGAATCGCGAAGCTCCCAAAATCGAAACTTCCACTGTCAATGGAGCCAACAGGAGGGTTCTGGTGCACACAGACATTGGTTTGCCCAATGGCCTGACTTTTGACCCCTTCTCCAAGCTGCTGTGCTGGGCAGACGCAGGTAATGTCCCCAAGGATGGATCAGAGAAGGTCACACTGGGTCTCAGAGGAAAATCCTGGGTGTCTTCAGCCCAGTGATACCTGTGGGCTCCAGTGTTGTGCCAGATTGGATTTTAGGAAATATTTCTTCATGGAAAATGTTGTTGCTCAGGGCAGTGGTGGAGTCCTTGTCCTTGGAGGGATTTAAAAGCTGTGTGGATGTGGCACGTGGGGACATGGAGCAGTGGTGGCCTTGGCAGTGCTGGGAATGGCTGGAGTTGGTCTTAGGGAGTTTTTCCAACCCTGAATTTTATGATTCTACATCTTCAGGCTGAAAAGCTGTTTCAAAATGTAATAAATCAGGAAAGGCTCTTTCCTCAGAGGGTGCTGGCACTGCTCAGGCTCGCCAGGGAATGGGCACAGCCCCGAGGCTGCCACAGCTCCAGGAGCTGCCAGGGATGCCCAGGGTGGGATTGTTGGGGTGTGCTGTGATCCTTGTGACTCTGTGGAATACCAGGAACATATTTGGAGTGGCATTTCCAGTGGGATGGGGAATATTTTGTGTTGGAACAGGCACCAAGCACCTGGAATGCACATTCCCGGACGGCACCGGCCGGCGCGTCATCCAGAGCAACCTCAACTACCCCTTCAGCATCGTCAGCTACGCCAACCACTTCTACCACAC